TCTCTCTCTCTCTCTCTCTCTCTCTCTCTCTCACGCACACTCTCTCTCTCTCTCTCTCTCTCTCTCTCTCTCTCTCTCTCTCTCTCTCTCTCTCTCTCGTTGGCTACAAACACGGTGGCGGCGCGGCGGCGGCGGCGGCGGTGGCGGCGACAGCGTTACGTACCTGCCCGCGGTGCGCGAGCGTGGTCCTCCGCGGTAAACACGGTGTGTGTCTCAACGTGAGCTGATCAGCTGGCGCGCGTGCGTGTGTGTGTGTGCGTGTGTGTGTGCGTGCGTGCGCGTGTGTGTGTGTGTATGTGCGCGCGCGCGTGTGTGTGTATGTGCGCGCGTGTGTGTGTGTGTGTGCGTGTGTGTGCGCGTGTGTGTGCGCGTGTGCGTGTGGGTGTGTGGGTGTGTGTGCGCGCGCGTGTGCGTGTGTGCGCGTGTGTGTGTGCGTGTGCGCGCGTGTGTGTGTGTGCGCGCGTGTGTGTGTATGTGCGCGCGCGTGTGTGTGCGTGCGTGCGTGCGTGCGTGTGTGTGTATGTGCGCGCGTCCGTGTAGCGGCGGCGGAGGTTTGTTACACAGAAGATGCCGAGATAGGAACGCCCGCCGATCGCGTACGCGGGGATTCGGGGCGGCGTGGCGGCGGGGAGGGGGGGGAGGGGGGGAGGGGAAGCGTAGGTTGAAATGCACCGCATGCCTGCGCTAGCCAGAGGAGGCAGCAGTGATCCGCTAATGACTGCTGGCCACACAGCTCGATCAATAACGACTAAATACACTTGCCAGCTGAGCGTAAATCGCAGACAAATGCGCGCATGTTGTTAATGTAAGAGGCAGCAGCAGTGGCAGCGGCGGCGGCGGTGTGGCGACGCCGCTTCAGCCGCAGTAGCTCAGCAGCAGGACCGCAGCAAACAGCCGAGCTCTCGTTACATTGTCGAGCTGTTTGCTTTCGTAAAGAATCTCGGCCGGGTAACAAGCGGCCGGGAGCGCGGCTCTCGCCGTGCAGCGTGCGTGCTGAGAGAGATGTGATTAGTGGCACGAATCCGTAGCAAGATGGCAGTGCGCGGTCGCTTACCGCGTGGGCAGCGGCAGCGGGCGCGTGATCTTCTTGTATTTGCAGCGCGGCAGACGTTGAGTGCGTATGTTCGGTGTGAAGGTGTGAGGCGTTATTGCAGAATAGTGTGCAGAAGGGGGGGGGGTATTTGTAAGGATTTGTAGCACTCGGTACCTAGAGTTCTAGATCTGCTGGCGTGTTTAGTGCAGACGGTGTTTAGGTATTGGGGCAAGAGAGTGGCGGCGGGGGGGGGGACATTTGTGAGGATTCGACGGCATTTATTATGATGAGTTAAGGTTCAGAAGCGCACGACTCTGTGAGCCGACGGGAGGATGCGCAGCATCCCTGCGATCTCGCGTGTAATTAATCAGCGCCGCGATGCTCGAGTGCATCGCCGCGGCGATTAATTATGTGATACGTGTGTTTTCGCGAGGCGATGCTGGCGCGTCGCGAGTGCCGCCGAGCAGAAATCTTAATGCGCATCTCACAAATGGCGCAGGTATTTACCAGGAAGACGTGCGAGTCAGTGAGGCGTTAACGAGAGGATCTGCTGCCGCCGCTGCTGCTGCTACTGCTAGCAGATATTGCTCCTCGCGCTGCTGCTGCCCTGCTCGCATTCCTCGCCGCTATTCAATCCACCACATTTTAATATGTTCGTCAACTTGTAAAGTGATATTGCAAAGAGCTCGCGGAATAGCGATGCTGTCAGCTGCGATTGGCAGCAGATATATGAGAAAATTAGTTTGTGAATTATTAATTAATTGTGAAACAAACGAACACAGACGGTATCGATCATACGTGGCCGAATCGGCTTTAGGCGAAAAACGGTAAAATTTGAGAAAATTACCTTTAGATTAAGGTTCTCTTTAATAGCAACGATAATGAGAGTTTCACAATCGAGTGAAATTCAATGTTGGGCATTTATATTACACAGTAAACGTCAAAAACTGCGCCGTGCGTGCGTGACGGCTACAGATGTAGTCGCTGTGTACGTGCGCAGTCTGAAGTACAGTGCACGAACTACGGTAACAGGCTCTGTGTCAGGCGGCAACCCCGCAGTTATACACGTAGCTGAAAACATAGTAATGTACACGTACGCACACACACACGCTCGCGCAGAAATCTCGCGGCACACACATAATCAGATGTGTTAGGATGTACGCGAAAACATGTACCTCAATTTCTTCCCACACTCCTCTTCGTTTGACTTTTTTTCTCGTTTTTTTTCCTGTGGCATAGACCTTGGCAGTGCGGTCGTGCGGTGCGCTGTATGTACAGTCTGTATGTGAGTATGAGGATAGGCGTGATGCGAGATAGTGTGTGATGGTTGTGAGGGTGGTGAAGTAAGGGGATTATAGTGTTAGTGGCAGCTACATGACCACCAACAGATCCCATGAGTATCTTATAGATCCATGACATGTTTTGTTTACTTGCAGATGTCTAACCACCAGGAACTTTGTGCGAATAGGAAAGTGGTTTGTGCAGCCCTATGACAGTGATAGCCAGGTCAAGTCACAGGAGGGCAGGTAAGAGAGAAAGTTATGTGTGCAATTCCAGATAGATGTTGAAGTGAAGCCCCTGCATACTACTATATGAAATAGTGCTGCGCATGGGAGAACCAGGTTTAGTTATTAATGCATGCGACATTATCTAGGTAAAAAACCCCAAGGTCTTAAAAGCCATCATCTGCCTGACAAATCAATAGGGGTGAATCCACTTCATCTACAAGTGTAGGTGTGTGTGTGTGTGTGTGTGTGTGTGTGTGTGTGCGTGCGTGCGTGCGTGCGTGCGTGCGTGCGTGCGTGCGTGCGTGCGTGCGTGCGTGCGTGCGTGCGTGTTGCGTGCGTGCGTGCGTGCGTGCGTGCGT